GATGGAGGCGGATGGCGGCGGATGGAGGCGGCGGCCGGTGAAGGCACCAAGATGGCGGCAGCCGAGAGGGGCTCGCGCCGGCCGGTGGGGCCTATTTATAGGCAAGTGCTCAGGCCACGCCCACAGCTGGAACCACGGGAAATGTAGTTCCTTCCCTGCTGGAGGATCATGGGAGTTGTAGTCCGGCCGCCGGCCGCCATTTTGCGCCGCCGCGAGGTTTGGTCCCTCCCCACCTCCAATTTATTTGGAATAAAATCATCAAATACATTTTTTTCTGTGAGTATCCGCTTATCCAAGGCTTTAACGGGATTGTTGTTGCATCCCGAAGCTCTTCCAGGGGCTTTCTTTTAAAGTAAAAATATAAAATATTTTTATATTGTAGCATAAAGAACGCAAAATAGAAAATGAAATAAAGCTCCGGTGAGTCTCAGCAGTTTTTAAATCCTTGCTGTGGATTGGGAGAGCTTTTGGCTCTCATTTCCAGGGGCAATACTGCTTTAAAAGCATAAAATTATAATTTTTTCCATTAAAAAAAGGGGGTTTTCCCCTCAGAATGAATTTTTACTCCTGCAAAATACGGTTTTCTTACCTTTAAAATTTATTTTCCCTCAAAATGAGGGGTTTTTTTCCTTTATATTGAGGGGTTTTCGTCTCAAACTATGTTTTATCCTCTAAATGAAGAGATTTCCCATCAAAATTAAGTTTTTTCCCCTCAAAATGAGGCAATTTTCCCTTAAGTGAGGGGTTTTCCCTTCAAAGTGGACTTTTTTCCCCTTAAAAATGAGATTTTTCCCTCTAATTGATCATTTTTTCCCTTCAAAGCAACTTTTTCTCCTCAAAAATGAGCTTTTTCCCCTCAGAATTGCGCATTTTCCCTCAAAAAAAGCATTTTCCCCTCAGAAATTACCATTTTCCCCTCAGAAATGAGCATTTTCCCCTCAGAAATGAGCATTTTTCCCTCAGAAATTATAATTTTCTCCTCAGAATTGAGCATCTTCCCCTCAGAAATTACCATTTTCCCCTCAGAAATGAGCATTTTCTCTCAGAAATGAGCATTTTTTCCCTCAGAAATTATAATTTTCTCCTCAGAATTGAGCATTTTCCCTCAGAAATGAGCATTTTCCCCTCAGAAATGAGCATTTTTTCCCTCAGAAATGAGCATTTTCCCCTCAGAAATGAGCATTTTCCCTCAGAAATGAACATTTTCCCCTCAGAAATGAGCATTTTCCCCTCAGAAATGAGCATTTTTCCCTCAGAAATTACAATTTTCTCCTCAGAAATTACCATTTTCCCCTCAAAAATCCCATTTCCAACACCAACCCACCCCCCCCCGCCAACAGGCCCAGGCCGCTTCCACCCAACAATCCCAAAAAAACCCAAGAAATACATAACAAAAAAAACCCCCGGGAATAAAATCCAATATCGCATCATTTATTCTCTTTTATTTGACTTTGGTAACATTTGCACGTGTGGAGTTTTGTTTTTTTGGGGTGGAAAACTCAAGATCTCGACGAGGAAGCACCGCGGCCTGCGGAGAACGCCCGGGAATGTTGGGTAAGGCGGGAATCAGAATTCCCAAAAAATTGAGGAGTAAAGAGGGGAAAAAACGGAACCAGGGGTATCGGCAAAGAAAAAAAAAACCTCAAACATTCAACTGACGGCGTTTAATCGGCTTTTTTTTCTCGTTTTTATGTGGTTTTTTTGTAAAAAATTGACTATAAAAGAGCGATACCCCTGGGTTCGGGCCTATCCCGGATCCGACGGCTCCGGCAGCGCTTCCCTCACCTCTCCCCTGAGGAATTCTGGTGGGAATTTTTTCCCCCAAAATTAGCAAAGAATCCAGAGGGAAAAAGTGAAAAAAAATATAAAATAAAATTATTATCCTCCGGTTCACGGGAATAAAGGTGGAATGTGTTCCCGGGGATATTGGGAAGGATAAAAAATACCCAAACCCGGGATTTTAGGGAATTCAGCTCCACGAGGCCGGAATGTCGGCGGCTTCCCGAAGGTTTGGATCATTTTAAAAACGAGTTTGTGTTAAAAAATAGCGATTTTTTTTATTTTTATTTTTATTTTTTTTTTTTTATTTGAAATCCCTTAAATCAAGGCAGAGGCAGAAAAGGCTCCTGGTGGAGGGGAGAAATTAAAATTTGGTTTTTTTTTCCCAATTCTAAAAGTACAATCCCAGTGGGAAAAGATAAAAATCTCGGATTTATCTCGCGCTTTTTTTTTGGGTGGAATCACCTGGTTTTTTAGGGTTTTTTTGTGAAAATTTCTAAAGGGAAAAGTTAAAAAATAAAAATAAAAAGGCAGCAGCAGGAGGAGGAAGAAGGAATCAGCAGCTCCCTCCGCTCCCTCTCCCTGGATTTTATGGATTCACCTCTCCAAACACGAGGAATTCAAGGATTTAATAGCGATTTCCACTCCTAATTTTTATTATTATTATTTTTTTTTTTTGCTGCTCTTTTGGGGATGTTTTTTATTATTATTATTATTATTATTATTATTTTTTCGCTTTTAAAAATCTGAAGTGACCGAGAGATTCCTCCCTCCTTGGCAAAATCAACGGGAGCTGTTGGGATTCTGTGGGAATTCCAGACTGGAATTTATGTCCGGACCAACGCCAGATTATTTCGTTTCCGGATGGAATTTTGTTTTTTTGTGGGGATTTTTTTTGTTTGTTTGTTTGTTTTTTTGGGGAAAAAAGGAGCGATTTGAGAACTCCAAAGCGATTTCTCAGTCGCCGGCCTCGTTCTCCTCCGCCGTCTCCCCCGTGGTGGCGTTTTCCGCGTTTTTGGAAGCCTGTGGGGACAAATCCAGGGATTTTTTGGGGTTCTTCAGGTGGAGAAACCCCGGAATTCCAAATCTGGGAATTCAGAATGTAAAAAAAGGGTGGATTTTACCTTCTTTTTCTTCTTTTTCTGGGTCTTGCGGCTGGCGGAGCTTTGTAGAAGGGCCTGGAAGGGAGGGGAGGGTGAGGAGGAGGGAAATGATCCCATTTTTTTTGGGATAACGGGAATTTGGGTCATTTTTGGGGAGGATTTGGTTCCTTTTCCTTCACCTCCCCACTCCAGGAGAGAGAGGATGGGTGATGCTGAGGAAGTGCTGCTTTATTTATATATATTATTAATTATTTCAGTTATTAATATTTTAAAATATTAATTTATTAATTATTATTATATAATTATAATTATATAATTATATAATATATAATACATATAATATATATAATACATATAATATATAATAATATATATAATTATAATATATTATAATAATATATTATAATTAATATATATTTTAAAATATTAATATTTTAATTAGAATATTTCGATTAAAATTTGAATTTATGTCAGTTGTTAATATTTATGTCAATTGTTAATATTTCAATTATCCCTATTTTAATTATCTATAGCTCCATTATTAATTCAATTGTTGATATTTAAATTAATATTAAATTGTTACTAATTATTAATTATTAAATTAATTATTAAATAATTAATTGTTACTAATTGTTAATTAATATTAAATTGTGTAGTATTTTATTTACAATTAAGATTTTATATGTATTGTTGTCTATTAATTAATCTATATTTAATTAATATATAATTATATATTTTATTAGATATTATATATAATTATATTATATATAATATATATTATATTACTTTATTAATAATATATAAATAACATTAATTATATTAAATTAATTATAATTATTTAATCTAATTAATTGATATTTAATTAATCTATATTTATATTAATACATTCATATAAACAGATATAGACTATTAAACTATATAATTAATACAGACTATTAATACAGACTAATTAATATAGACTATTAAACTATATTTAGCTTTATATCTTTATATATTTATATTAATAAACTTGTGATTTTTTATGGATTTCTATATTTAAAATGTATTTTATTTATTCATATCTTTCTTTATACTTTACATTTTTATATATCCAGTATAAATATAAGATATATATATTTCTAAATAGATTGTTTAATATTTATATATAAATATGTTATATATTATATATATATATTATTTATATATATAAAAAAATTCTTATTTAGCAATTAATCTATAAAAAAATTCTTATTTAGCAATTAATCTATTAGTACTAATAATTATTAATACTAATAACTATTACAAAACTATTTTCTATTTCATTTTACAAGTAAATATAACTACAAATAAATAATATAACCAATAAAAATACAAAATAGATCAATTTTTCCTATAAATATTTGATACACAAAATTAATTTGACGTTCCCACAGGTAGCTAATTTTCGTATTAGCATTATTAATGATTAATATTAACAATGAACCAACCTTGAGCTCCCCGTCCTGCACCTCCAGGTCGGATTTGTAGAGCTCGGGCTCGAAGGGGCCGCTCGTGATCCTCATGGGGCCGTTGGGCATCAGCAGCACCGTGAACTTGAACTGGGCCACGAACTCGCCTGTGGGGACACAGGGGTTAACCCTGAGCTATGGCCCTGCCAGGACCTGGGGTTAACCCTGAGCTACGGCCCTGCCAGGACCTGGGGTTAACCCTGAGCTATGGCCCTGCCAGGACCTGGGGTAACCCTGAGCTCCAGCCCTGCCAGGACCTGGGGTTAACCCTGAGCTATGGCCCTGCCAGGACCTGGGGTTAACCCTGAGCTATGGCCCTGCCAGGACCTGGGGTTAACCCTGAGCTCCGGCCCTGCCAGGACCTGTGAGCACCTGGGGACACAGGGGTTAACCCTGAGCTATGGCCCTGCCAGGACCTGGGGGAGAAACCCTGAGCTATGGCCCTGCCAGGACCTGGGGCTAACCCTGAGCTCCGGCCCTGCCAGGACCTGGGGTTAACCCTGAGCTATGGCCCTGCCAGGACCTGGGGTTAACCCTGAGCTCCAGCCCTGCCAGGACCTGGGGGAGAAACCCTGAGCTATGGCCCTGCCAGGACCTGGGGTTAACCCTGAGCTATGGCCCTGCCAGGACCTGGGGTTAACCCTGAACTCCGGCCCTGCCAGGACCTGGGGTTAACCCTGAGCTATGGCCCTGCCAGGACCTGGGGTTAACCCTGAGCTACGGCCCTGCCAGGACCTGGGGTTAACCCTGAGCTCTGGCCCTGCCAGGACCTGTGAGCACCTGGGGACACAGGGGTTAACCCTGAGCTACGGCCCTGCCAGGACCTGGGGTTAACCCTGAGCTCCAGCCCTGCCAGGACCTGCAGGGACAACAGGTTAACCCTGCCAGGACCTGCAATCCCTGCTCTGAGCAGCTCCAAACTCACCTGGACCCATCCTCACCTGTCCCTCACCTGCCCACAGGTGTCCCCAGGTGTCCCCTGCCCCCCCAGGTG